TCATTCGTCTCTGTGACAGTAACATTTATGTTTAAAAAACTTTTTTGTTGAGATAGAAGTATTCTACTCAGGAAAGCAACACAAGCAGTCGGACAGATTTTTATAGAAGTCCCCAGTTTCACATAAAACCCTTGTTGGGAAGTGAAAGGCGAAATTGAACTGTTCATGTTATTTCCAAAAATGTTGGGAAATGCCTTTTGTAGAGCGACATCCTGGTTCAACTTTCAACTACTTTCATAGTTGAGAATGAATACAGTTTTGCAATGAATATAATGACCATTTTGATTGTGTTCACATTTTTAATCTCCAAATAAGTTGTTTGAATAATTTGATAAAAATGTGTAAAGTTGTTTTGCCACATCTAGAATCTTTACAATTAACGTGGTGAGAAAATAATATTAATACAAAAGAGGGTACATTTAAAGAATGATTATAGTTCTGTAAAAAAAAAATTGACAATTGGAATTTAAGGAAACAGGGGAAGAAAGGGGGAAGGACACGTTTCACTATTCCATTCGGCCATTTTAAAATTGAACTGAAAGGCCAAAGGGAAGATAGCAACAGTTATTTGGTTATACACAATAAATCAGGTCAATAAATCTAGTCAGGTTAGGAGAAAAGGAGAATCATTTTTTTTATTTCTCTATTTCAGGTGTGGTTGTCCTGAGAACCGTAGTGTTTACAGCTCTTTATACCACACACACTTCCTCGTGAGAACGACTGGCACCAGCTTTTTCCCTGCTCTAAAGCCAGCAATTAAGAAACATAAATTAGGATATTTTTTTTTCCTTATTGCCAAATCCTCACTTTAGCCCTTCACAACCTGCTGGTCTGTTTATGCTTAAGCCTCAATGCAACTACAAAAAGACTTAGAAGAAGACGGTGCACCATGCTATAAGACATTTTATTAATAATTATAGACCTAAACATATGGTAAAGAAACATACTGTTATGTATTTATACTGTGTATTCAGTACATTCTCAATATTGAATCGTATCCCACATTATTCCAATATTATTAAGTCTTATACTCAGTACTGAGCAGTTCACCACAGCACAGAAGGCTACACACTAGGTGCCTAAAGGAAAGTTCAAATGGGTTTTTTTTTTTTTTGTTGTGGATGTAAAATGAATAAACAATACTTTGCTGATGGGAGACCTGCATTGCATGGTATTTTAATACTAAACAAGCTGTGCACACCCGTTGGGCCTCTAAGACCTCATCCTATGCCCCTCCTGCAGGATACGTGCAGTGGTCAGCTCTATATGATGCCCAAGCCGTTTGACATACTTAAACCGAATAAGTAATTGCATAACTCGTTGCAAAGCTGTATGGCTTAGACCATGCTGAAGATAGATCACCACTGATGGGTTTTCCACAGTGAGACAATGTAGCCTACCTATGTGATGAAATACGTGGTTATTTAATACTACTTTAAATCTTTGCCCCACGCTGGTGAGATCCAAACACTTCTACGCAGACCTGTAATGCTTTCAAATTTATTTTCAGGTTAGTGTTTACTTTAATCTGCTATAGGGTGAAATTGCTCCTCTCTAATGCACTGCTGTATTAACAACCGCCCACATGTCTACATCGACATGTTTAATTTAAAGGTTGGAGCGCGTATTTGCTGTGAGTGCATTTTGGGGTCGCTGGTAAATGACAGATTACTCACATTTGTGTGAGCCTATGTAATCCGATTCCGCTCCAGTTCATTCTGTGCAAATCTCATGTCGTCATACTGTAGCCTACTGTAGGAGCGCTTCAGCCTCACGCAGGCATGAGCAAACGCACGCAGAATCATCCGACCCTGATGCACTTTGCACGGCTGTGAATAATGCCAACAGCTGTTTGACGACAGTCCACATCATGTCCACACAACTGCACAATGTCAGAGTAATTAACCAACCAATTTACCTGATTTCTATATGTTGTTTCTAGGTTCTTCTTCTTATTGTTGTTGTTTATTATTATTATTATTATTATTATTATTATTATTATTAGTAGTAGTAGTAGTACTTGTAGTAGACTATCACATTACAACACATTATTTTCAGTCAGTGTGGGCCTACACTTCTAACACAAAATATAAACCATAATAATTTTAAAGTCATACACATTCCACAATCAAAAATAAGCAGGGAGAAGAAAAACCTTATATTTCATTCTCGAAATAAATAAATAGCTTAATAAGTAGTAGTGTAGTACTACAGTAGGCCTGTAAGTGGACAATAACTGCTTTTCTTTTCTTTATCTTTTTGTCTATTTGTATTTTATTTTGTGTTTTTCTACCTTTATTTCATTCTAATATTTCCCTTTTATTGTGGTTTAATTGTTGCTCTAAATGCATTCCCCCTATGTACAGCACTTTGAAAGTGTCAAAGGAATAAACTTGCCTTGCCTAATAGTGCTTGATACTCTCTTTATTCTTCATTTTCTTCCTTCTTCAATGCCACAAATTGTTGCTCTACATTCTTAGCTTTCCTAACATACCTCTGCGAAAAGCTGACGATGACTGCGATGAAGATGTGAGCGTAATTACAGCATTTGTTTTGGAGGCACAGAGTGATGCCACCTCCTCGTTGCCTCCCATCGACTCGCTCGTCGGTCGACTCGCTCACTGTACACCAAACTCGCTGCGCTCTGACCACTGCAACTTTTGCAGAGACTCCTCACTCCACAGACATGTCGCACAATAGCTGAAGTAAAAACCTGTCATCGTGGCTCATCATTTGAGCCCCCAGAAATACGCCGCAGGCTGGATTTGAATTGCACAGCCTCTCCTCTGTCGCTTCCCTCGCATCGGAGCCTGCGTTTGAAAACGCCTGGATATGAATTATGAGCATTTTCCTCACTAATGAACTGGGCCAGTAATGCAGGAGACCGCGGCGACTCTCTCATCAGTGTTTCAAGATGGCAGATTTTCATTGAGTTTTGAACAGAAATCCCGCTTTATTTTTTGCCATGAATAACAGAAATCCTTGCACCGATGGCCCCTGTATACGAAGGTAAGATGCTTTTGGAAATGTGCTGTTTTTCCGCCTGTGCGGGGCTCAGTCACTCAGCCTACTGTATCAATTGTGATACAATTGAATTGCGGCTGATACGGAGGGAGAGATGCGTTGCACCCTCTCCTCTCTCAGTCAAAATCATAAAACAGACATTTACATTAGGTTTTGTGAAGCTACCACAGTTGAGCTCTGCAGCCACAGCTCTGTGCGTTAGTGCTTTTGGCCACAGTTGGAGAATAAATACTAGCAGTCAGATTGTGCTGCCAGTCTGGGCTGCGTGTTAAAATAGCGCTGATAAGGCTACAAACCCTCCTGAATAGGGTCAAAAGACTAGCGTGCGTTGAACATAGACACCTGATAATGTTGTGTTCTGTCCTCATGTTTGTTCCTGGTAGAAATAATAAGCACTGCTTAAAGAAGGAGAGGGAATGAAAGAAGGTCGGGGGGGGGACCGATCGGTCCGAGTCTCGCCTCCATTCACTCTCATTCCTCTGTCTCCAATTATTTCGCATCAATCTAACTGACTGACTGACTTTACATGTCTCAGTGCCTCGGTGCATTGATTCAAGTGTTTTTAATTTTCTTCCGGAAACCAAAGGCGAGCTTAAATACAGCATAGTCGCTACCGCTGCAGCGTTGTAGCTGTGACTAATCCAATTGAGAGAATGCAACCCCGCATGCTTCTCCAAATTGTTTGCTGCTGTCATGTAGTTGTTGTTTTTTTCATTGCAAGAGAGTAATTCACACACAAACAATGTGTGTGTGTGTGTGTGTGTGTGTGTGTGTGTGCTTTGCAGTGTCGTTGCAAGGTGGGCTATCAATATAAAACAATGCAAGCGGCCCATTGTAATCCATGCCTGATCGGGGGTCTGTGGATGGTCCAACTGCAAGTACACAAATATCAGCAATAGATTGAGTAGTATGGTAAAACAGGGACATTAGTATAATGCAATGGTAGGCAATCATTGTGTTAGCTTTTGATGTAATTCAGCTGTTGTAATGTATCATTCAGAACAGAAGTAGTCCTATACTGTAGCTTGCACAGATGCTTTTGTGACATAGCCTACGATAGGACAGATAACCCCTGACAGTATTAATGAAGGAAACTGAGGTTTACATGCTGATCAGAAGCAAATGCAAAGTGAATACTTGCACAAAGCAAATGATGACCCTTCATGTTTTCAGTATTTATTTTTGAGCAGCCTCATGTTTAATATCTTCTGGACTACTCTCTAGTCCCTCTGGTGGTGTTAAAGGGAACCCCTTCTTTTTTTTTTCTCCCAAATTACCATCAAGGAAAAAAAACAAACAATTGAAAAGTAATACTTGCACACGTGAAAGTGACATTATAGAAACATCAGAAGCAAAAGCAGGTTCTAATAGTAATGTTTAGGTTGTGTAATAGGCTACTATAGAATATGTAGTATCATGGAGGACAATGAGGCTGCTACAAACTCCTCACTTAGTGCTCTTATGTCTCTTTAGGAATATGTTGATTCTTCTGTAGAAGCTTAGAGGCATAGCCCGAGACTATATGGCGTTTCAACATGAAAAGGAAAGTTGAAATGAGACTCCTATGCAAAAGGTAATTAGTGTAAATTACATTCCCTGGCTTTTCCCTTCACCACGGAGAGGAGGAGAAGGGAAGAGAAAGAGGCGGCAGGGGGAATTAATTACCTTGCCTGTCCTCCTCAGTGTTGGAGAGGGCTGTTATGTAGAACAGTCATGGAAATGACCAAGGTCTCCGGTGGAAAATAGGTTTGGGGGTGGGGGCTGGGGGGTCCTTTACATTGACTGGGACCAGCTATTATGGTGATTACTCACTCTTAGCTACAGGGTAACTAATAACTTAAATCTATCTGATTAACTACTTCCTTTGATAGTTTAAAGTTGATTCTGTTGAGGAAAAACACTTTACAGTTAGATTTCTGAACTTGATTTCACATTAATAATCATTTATTAAGAATTATTTCTATAAACAAGGTTGAGAGAGTGGTGCTTGTGTGAATTTGTGTCCATGTTCTTGTTGGTTATGCTTTTTTTCCTTTTTTTATTACGTGTTTGCCTTTGGTCCTTCTTGGCCCAGACAGAAGGCCATCAGGCAGGCCTGCTGGCAGGCAGGGCAGCGGTCTGATCATCCTGGGAGCTTTGTCTCATAACCCAAACTGACACCTTGATGGATGTCTGATGAACGGAGCAGGTCCAGCAGCCCCCAGCTGTGGAAAAGCTAATATTCGGAGACTGCCAAAACCCTGCTTGCCTGCCTGCCTGCCTGCCTGCCTGCCTGCCTGCCTGCCTGCCTGCCTGCCTGCCTGCCTGCCTGCCTGTCCTCTTCCCTGGCTAGATATATGGGCGCTAGTGTGCTCATGGCTGCATGTGCACATGTCTCTATCTGTGCATGAGTCTGTACACATGTGCCTTCACCCATTTGTAGGGCAGGCCTGGGAGAGGATTAGACAGCTGCGGAGCTGGGCACCAGGCAGGGAGGCAACTTCATTTGTAGAGCTGCCTCTCCCGGGGTCAACCAGTACGATTCCAGAGAGGATTCATTCATTCCCGCCTGGAAAAATGGACAGAGTATGACTAAGAGGCTGATGATGATGATGATGATGATGATGGTGGTGACAGGCACTGCAGCATCACAGGCAGATTAATGTTTTATCCATCCACACGGCCATTATGTGTTAATGCGATTTTGAATTACCTTGTGGTTTCCAGGTATGGGGAATGAGGGGATGTTACTCCTCTGAGGACAGAAGGACAGAGAGAGCCAGACATTCTCAGAAACCGCCCTCAACTCCCTATGTCTCCCTCCCTCTTCCCCTCGCGCTTGTTTGGAGCCGCTTGATTGATATCTTCCTCACAGGCCACGACCCAGGCTGAGAGTCCAAGGTTGCAGCTTTTTAAACTTTGATTAGAATTGCAGGAAGAACCCCGGGGGCCTTTTGGGGGCTGTGACGGGGGCCGCACCCCATGGCAGAGTCAAGGGAACTGAGGAGGGTCTCCTTTTACTGACTGTTATGACAAGCAGGGTGGTGTGTTTAGCTCTTCACTGTCCACAGCAGAGGAAGAAAAAGGCCTGAGGGGGGGGAGAGAACAGAGTGATAGTTAAATAGCTCACAAAGAAAGAACAGTCATCACTCTGTAAATCCTTGTAGGTGCCATTGTGAATGTTTATCTCTTGTTTTTCACTTTCACTCAGCAGCCGATTTGATCTGTTTGTTGACCTGATGCATAACCTTATGACTTGTTTGGAAGGCAGTTTGCTCAGAAAGGGTTATGAAAATGGATAAGCTGTCTTTACAAGTATCGCTTTTGCATTATTCAAAGCTTCCTATCTGAAAAGGAAGTGAAATCCAGTGTTGGGGGATTCTTTGTGCTATTGATTTGTTGAAGCATTTAGTAGAAGAAGCTGAGGCTTTGGAGACAGATAGAATGTGAGTTTTATGTGAGATGAGGTGTGTGTGCAGCTCTCTGTGGAAGATGGGGGAATATGCGAGCTCTCTGATGTGCTGAAATAGTTCACAGGTGTGATCTGAGGGTTTTGGAAACAGATGGGGGCGGGTGGGGGTTAGGGGGCGTCAACTTGAACTGAAATGACAGGTTAGTAGAGGCCAGTCTGACAGAGGAGGCCCAGCCTTGAATATGAGCAAAATACCTTTGGCTATTTCTGCAGGCTCAACTTTTCATATACTCTTTTCAGCAAATTTCTCTGGAGTAAAACTGCCTCCAGTACTCCACAACATCATTCTTCTGGCTCTAAGAAAATTCAGTTGAGATGCAAGGGGACTTTACAATTCTCATTTTCTCCTCAGTCAGTAAGCCTCCTGTTTTAGTGCTTTTGCCATATGTTTCAGACCTCTCTCAGAAATGACTCTGAAAACCGGGCTCCAAGGTCCTTGAAGTGGGAGACCACATCAGTTGCTGACATTAGTTCGTTTTTATCGAAGTGGAAGGGGGAGGCTGGCTGGGATGGAGCCTCAACCCTTGTCGACTGCTTACACAAGGCATTTCCGTGTTGGTTGTCATGCATGTGTGAAGGGTCTTTTTTTCCCTACACTGTTGTTTCACACTGTGTATGGTGTCAGCTTGTGGGGAACAGCTGCCTCTGGTTCTGCCTAGCAGTGCAACGACTCCAGGCTCTGTTAAGGAGTAAAGTAGTTTAACAGGCATCATACAGTTGCTTTGCTTACTGGCCTGTAATATAAAAGTTAAAACACCTTTTTATATGGAAGCTTTTGAAAGCAAAAATGTGTGATATTGACATTTAAAACTTAAACCTACTCTTATGTGATGGTATAAAACACATCACAGTAATCTTGATTACTGGTATTAAAGCACTAAGACTTTAAACATACACGGCCGATAGTATTTTAATTATTTGAATACTGAATGTGTAATTTTCTTCCCTTCTCTTTTCTCTTTTAGCATTTTGGAAACAATTTTCTGGTTCTCAGTGGGGTGCCATATTACCTAAGAAAATGGCCTTGTATTTGAGCATCAGTGTGAGAGAAAACAAATTTATGAATGTCCGTCTTGAATTTAAATAAACCTCGACTTGCCAAAAGTAATGTAGTAACTGCTCAGCAGCGAGGACGAGCGTAGCATCTGTTAAAAAGTACGATGCTGAGAGTCTCTGCACCTTATGACACATCCATTGCTTTGATCTGCTCCGAGAGCCACAGTTCAAACAAAGGTTCACATTTTACTGCTTCCCAACACAGCACTGAGTGAATGAAGATTTTTGTTAACTCGGGCCTGTTAAGCAGTAATTACACAGGGATTGCTGGAGCATAAAGGGCACTTTATATGCTGAAGGTGTCAAATTGTTTTTATATACATATACTATATGTGTGTGTGATAATATTACAGAGTGCAGCATGTGCATGATGTGCATTTTTCCCGCATACCATATACTGCATGCTCACTTTGTAATCATCATTCGCCAGTGACCCCGCCAATTCTCACCCCCACCCACGCACCCCATGTTTCCCTTCCCCACCCCCACACATCTATCTCTTATCTGTCCTTCCATCCCGCTCTGTTTGTTGATAAGCCGAGAGGCCATTGGCCAGCACACATGGTGCCCATGTGACACTTCAGCAACAGCCTGATGGCCAGATTGGAAGCCCCCATGTATGTGTGTGTGTGTGTGTGTGTGTGTGTGTGTGTAATTGGAGGCTGGTCTGAGAAGAGGTCTAACTACTGTAGCTTTTTGTTCTCAGTAATCATGACCCCCCACCCAAAAGCCCTCAGACTCCCCCATCTCTTCCCGCCTCACTCAATCCCCCATGGCTTGTCTTATTGCCATCACTAACCCCCCAACCCAAACGACCGGCTTGTTTTTGGTCCACATTGCCCCAGGTCTTAATCCTATTGTTTGTGAAAATGTCCCCCCATACCAGTCCATTTGACATTGCACACAGCCGCTGCCCGCTGCATTTATCACTGGCTCATTTGCCCTTTCAACTTGACACGTCACGCGAAGCAAGTCTAAAAGTTGAACAAAGCCTTGAATGTGGTGCAAAGACAACAGTGATGATGTAAGGTACTACAGCTGGATGGTGAGGGCAACTACCACACTCACAGCCACTTCATTTAAACAAAAGATCCTAACCGTCTCTTCATATTACATGAAGCGCAGAGTGAAAAATGGTTTGCAGTTTTTAATCAAGCCTTTCATAACCTCCTCATTTTTTCCTTCTCTTTCGAGGGAAAGAGACACGGTGGGTGGTTGAGGATGGGGAGGGATTGGGGGAGTGTTTACAGGCAGATATTGAAATGAGCAGAGGAGGACGGAATTACACAGTAAGATTAGGGAACTGAGGTTGGGAGTTTTAGGGTACTCAAGTATTCATTGACACAGACACAGCTATGGGCTCTACCATGTGCGACCAGCCAGTGTGGACTAAGTGCTGCTACCAGCACCATCACCACTACTGGCTCAGACCTCTCTCGGTCATGGAAGGGAAGTGGAGCGATGGGTGGCTGCTGGCGGCCCCTTCACAGATGGCTGCAGGTACAGCGCTACGCTTGGCTGATAACCAAAGGACTTCAAAGCTCAGACGAGCACTCAAGCCCATTTCTGTCCAAAGCCAGGAGGCAAAAGGCACAGACCAGAGAAAGGAGACAGCAATAGACAAGGACTATGGGTAGTCAAAAGAGTCAACAGGCATGGAAATGAGCAGCTTTAGTCCTATTTCGTTTTCCTTTGCATGCTTTTTGTGCAATATTTGCTCCCAGATTCTTTCTCACATATGTCCATTCTCCACTTCTCATCTGCTTATTCAATCTCATCACTTTTCTCTCTTTCTCAGTGTGCTGTGCGATTCTCATTATTCTATTACCGTGAAAGCAGTTGTGAGGACACATTCACATCCAAGCAAGAAATGGAAATAAAATGTGAGGGTCACTGTTACAGATAGGAAGCCCTCCCTCCTCTCTACTGATGTCTTTTTTTCTTTATTTGGTTTAGATCAGGATTCTCTCAGGAATCCCGTATTCCTTGTGAAGAGTCAGTTCCACTACACAGTAAACTAACAAGTTAGACATCAAAAGGAGCAGGCAGTGGAAGTGACGAAACACACTGATAGAAATCTCTCAGAGGTTTTAAGAATGATGTAGTAAAATGGTCTCTATATCTCTTTAATATTCACATATGTAGAAAAAAATTATTTCTTCGTTGCTGCTGAAGGCTGGAAACCAAGCTTTTATGAGCTTTTAAGGAATAATGTTGAAAAGGGAGAGATGTTAAAAAATCATTGATTTAATTATACCACTCCAGTACTGGCATGAGAAAACGCTGAAAGTCCTAACGGTAAGAAATATTTCCTTACTGCTGCATGAGCTAATCTGAAGACATTTAGTAACATTCAGTTGCATGATTAGTAATTAATGGCTGTTTGAACCCTTTTTTATTAAAAATGCAATATTTAGGATCTTCAGAAAGTTTTGAGGGAATGGTTATGCATTTGTTATCCCTGTTATTTTATTCTGAAAGTTTTAACAAAGCCCTTTTTAGCCGTTTTATTTTAGTAGATTTATAGTAGAAGCATTGACCGTGTAAAGCCAGGGTGTGTTTCACGTCACATTATCAAGCAAGGGATTCTGGGAGTTTTTAAAGGATAACGAGTATTCTACACGCAGTTTGCTTAGCTTTAGCTTTGAAGAACTTTTGTTGTCGCAGAACAGAAACAATAGTGACATTTATTGCTGAAAATGTTCCTCTTACACTCCTCATGTAAGTGTGGCCCATTATTATAAAGTTAAACTATGCCTTCATGGTAAACTTAACAGAATTCAGGAAGAGCAATAGTAGGACCTGTTTGTGTTTCTGTCTGTTGCAGCATAAAAAAACAGGTTGCACACCTTTTAGATCCACTCCTCACTTCAAAGCCTCAGGCACATCATGGCCAGCCAGCAGCTCTCCGTCTGGCAGCCTTTTGAACTGACCCCTTCATTCAGCCTGAGAGACAGAGAGTGAGAGGGAGAATGGCAGAGAGATAGGGAGTGACAGAGATTGAAAACGTAAGGCAGAAAATGGAGGGAGGGAGGCAGTGGAGCTGGGGTGGAGAGCTGAATACCTTCTTTTGGGGGCCCATGGGCCTCAGGGGCACTGCCTGAGGTCAGGGGTGCTTGTGGGGGGTTAGTGGTTGGTAAGGGGTTTGGCGGGTCACCGGTCTAAGAGGGATTTTGGTGGTGGCGGTGGTGTTGGGGGTTGTAGATCTCACCCCTCGTCTTCTTTAACCTGTCTCCATCTTACATCGGGGATCAGCGCTGTACAATGAGGCGCCCGTCTCCTCAGCTCCCCTGACAGAGCCCAGCAGCTGCAAACACACACAAACATGCTCCCAGCCCTCCATCACTTTTAGAGAAGCTGGCCCAGAGAAAGGCCAAAAGTTGACCTTTAGCTATGCGGACCTGTTCTCTTCCCTTCACTGCTCCAGAGTGGCCCAGGCTAGGCAAGTTGTTTTTACACCATTAGGCCTCTGTGAGACTGGGACAGCATGTGATGAGGAGTTCTGCATTCTTAAGCATTTTGGGCATAAACATGGCAGTGTTAAGTGGCATCCATCTCAGTAACATTCACCTCACTCAGATCCTTTCAACATTTTAATAGCCTGGACAAAAAATACCTCAGCTAGACTAACAGACTACTAGCATTTCTATCTTTATTCACAGGCAAGCATCTTACAGTATGATGAATCATTATTTACTGGCTTCCCACAGCTCATCTTTTCCATCTGTTAAAATCCCTCTGAGCTACTATTGAACTGGGAGTTAAGAAACAACTCAGACCACAGGAACAAAACCAAACTGGCAAATTCTCCTCGATGGGTCTTGTTTTGTGTAATTTACTATTTCTTACTCATGTAATTTACTGAACAAAGTTAGTCATAATGGTTATAATTGTAAAACCAACAACTCTTATTCTCATTTTGAAGGTGTTTACCTTTTATGCAAGCCATCTCAAATGTGTACTTCTCATAGATGGCCACTCAGTATGTGGGTGTTAAACTGATGGCCAGAATAGCCATTTCCTGCCTGGTTTTGCTATTTGTGACTGTTAGGACACTGTAAATATAATCGACTGAAGCCATGATTTTCACGCTGAATCAGACGCAGAGGGCTGAGTTGGCTAGCCATATTTATTTCCTCAGCTCTTTGGCCAGAAAGACTCAACAGCTATGTTTATGTGAGACTGTCAGTTGGATTAAGGACACATATGCCTTGCTAAATTAGTATGTGAGCATGTGTTTGTGTGTGTGCCATAATCTTTTAAAAACAGTTTGAATATATACTATGGTGGGCCTCCTTACTTTTTGAAATACATTAAAAGACAGAATGAGAGAAGCTACACAAGGGGAGAGGGTTAAAAAGAAGATGAGGAGAGATTAGGAGATTAAAACAATTTATTGAGCGTTCATATGGATGAGTCACCTGCGGCATGAAGGAGTGCATGTTGAGGCATTTTAGTGGTAGAAAAAAGGCATCTGTAGTCTAAATTGGTCTGATCTGTGGCCTTAATGGGCCCCAAGCAGCAGCTTCACGCACCCCGCTGAAATATCACACACTCTTGTTGCCTGGGGAGGCATGTGCACCCCCCAGCTTATATTTGATAGCAGAGAGCATAGGGAGGTGGCGTATACTAGGGGAGAAAGGGGGGCATGTGGGGGTCATAAAGAGCTCTGATGTGAGATGGATAGAACTTGCCTGTTTCTCCCTCTGTCTGTGGTTTTTGAGGCAGTGAAAAGTGGACTTCATGCAGCAGCACTTATAACTCTCTGGCCCGTGTGTCACAACTTGTCTTTGAAAACACTCTGTGCCACCCTGGTTTCCAGTTGACAGCTTGCAAGGAACTGAGATCTAACAGGTAGGCACTGGTAGTTTCTTACCAGCTGTGCACAAAACAGACCAGACAACAACAAAAAAAGGAGAAATATGTAAAGCATTTGCATTCACGTATATTTTTCCTAGCAACTCATTCCTCTGTTTTCAAAGCTAGACACCCTATCAGTTTGCTGTTTGATTACAGCTGTGTTTTGGAAATACAGGAAGTGTTGTCCCTGCCTGTGTGTGATTGGTCCCCAGGTGCCCAGTCAGGTTGGACTGGTTCCTCTGTTGTCGGGGTTCATTGCAGGGTTTTGAAGGGGTGGAGTATCAGAGTAATCCCTCTGGGTGTGTGTTTGTGTGTGTGTTTTGGGGTGGTGGTTTCGTGCATGTTGTTAATACAGAATAACTTTGACAAATAGTGAAGGGAGTTACACCAACAGTCATAAAGTTACACGTACATTAGCACACACGTCGAGTCTCTGAAGTGCAAAGATGTATTCTTTGGATAGACGCCTAGTTACACGTGCATACACGCATTCTGCACAGATGCAGAGAGTTGTGTGTGTGGTGTTGGGTGCATCCTTGGTGGAGGCGGGCGTTGTGAACAGGACAAGCATTATAGCAGCTGTCTCTGTTGGATATTAATGCAGCAGCAGACTTTGAGTCCTGAGTTCAAGCGCACACCCAAGACTAATTCTTAGCTGTCTGTTCCATAGGACAGGGAAGGTTGGCAGGGTGAGGCAGCGATGCCAAGACAGTGATCACTGCTGTTTGCTTTCAGTTTTTACTGTTTGACTTTCTCATTCTTACTTTACGCAATTTAAATCAGTAGTACACCAACCTCAAATAGCGCTCTCATATTACAATGCAGTAAAAATGAAAGACTATCATCTCATTTAACACTTTGGATGTGATAATCATATTAGTGGGGTTAATACAATTACGAACCTCACAAAGTAAATACCTTTTCTGAATGTATTAGGCAACCCATGCATACATAACAGGGGATCACTCAAAATGAAAATTATGGGGGATTATTATTTTTTTTAAACACTTTAAAAATTCCTTCTTTTTTTTTTTTCAGTCAATTGATCGCTTTTGTCTGAGAATATAATTATATTTGTGTGTCCAGGAAGAGGTTTGACCCTTTAGAAATAAAATTAAGGTCTCCATCTCTGAAAGGTCCCTTCACAAACCTTGTTCTACTTTGGGGCTTTTGTCCACTGAACATTAGAGTGAATAATGACTGAAATGTTGATGGGTAGCTAACAGGAACCTGGCTCCTTGTGTTTGTGCATGCAGGCATATGTGCTCCTGTGTGAACATCAGCATTATTGTATTTCATTTTGCATATCGCTGCCTTTTGTCCTTCACTTACTGAAGCGGCATCCTTTCAAAACCTCGGGTTGTGGTATGTTGCAAGAGCAGCAAACAAGGCCGCCATTCACATTCATACATATACTTTGTCAGTAGATTATAGCGGAACACAGTCGGTATGCAACAAAATCCATACTGCACTGGCCTCTCTCAAATCAATTTGCCATTATACAATGTTTTATCCCACAGTGTACTCATCTGTATGTTCTCCCCGTTGTTTTATTTGTTGTTACTGTTTCTTGCCTGCACTTCTCATATGTTGATCTCATTATAGTACATTGTGTCCAGCTGTCATTGTTGATCCTAATGACATGAGAGGAAGTGTGGTGTAGTGGGGCGTTTCTCGCTGTGTGCAAATGATAAGCATTCTGGAGAACGGCTGCTTATCAGGTGTGTGTCCCTGGACGGCCCTGTGCTGTGTTTGTAACTGTAGTCAAAACCACACAGCTTGATGCATACAGTGGATGTCAATGGTATTGCAGTCAAGCCATGAGTTAACAGGTGCCATTGGTTTATGGTTGGGCACATTTTCAACCCCCTCCATCTCATTTTATACTGCCACATACAAGACTTCTGCACAGAACAAATAGTTTCTGCTTATCTGTTCCACATTCAATGTTTTACTTCTGCTGAAGCAAGGGCATGCTAGCAGGCCTCTTTCTTTCTGTCTTTCTTCATTTCAGTAGGGAGGAAGTTGGGTGCTGTGCTTTGTACACTTGCTACACTCGTGATTTGATTAATAAGAAATCCAGCTCAAGCCACTCGAGCCACTCTGCCACCCAGTCCTCCTCCCCTTGCACTCCTCCTCCTCATCTCCCGCTTCTCTTCTCCACCCTGTGTCTTGGTTCAGTGCCTGGTTTGGCTGACCTGGCAGTATAAACAAAGCAAATGTTTTTCTCACCCCAACCGTTTTATGACCACACTTACAACGTGAATAGCAGCCTCCTTATCTACAGACAGTTACCCTGCAGGAACCAGGTTTTCCAGCTTTACTTTAGATTAGAAATGTTAATATTTCAACTTTAACCACACACATTGTCGTTGCTCAGGTAGATCCTAAGGGAGTTAATAACATATTCAGAGTTGTGTTTTGCATCAGCTGGTGTGAGTGTGTGTTGCACCTCTTTGTATTGGTGCTCCTGTGTACACCTGCAGGTGGACATTTCTGCGATTGCTCCTGTGTCTGTTTTTGCCAGTGTATCTGTGTGCATTTGAACACGTGCTGACCGAACGCGTTATCTCACAGCTAACACGACATGCTGTATCTTTGGGTGTTTGCTTCCAGGAAGGGGAGAGTTGAGGGAGTGTCACATTTACAGCAGGCATGTTGCTGATTTACGAGCTGAGAAGACCTGTGTATGTCGGTCAAACAGCATTCATACTGGCCTCTTAGGCTGTCAATATGCTGGATATATATTTGTCCCCTTTTGTGCATTTGTAAGAGAGTGGAGAGAAATGGCGAGGCAATTCCAACTGGTCAAATACTGTGGTCAGGATGAGCATAAAGGCTGATGGAGCTGCAGCCTCCGTGACAGTATCTCCCCGCGAGCTCGTCTGATGCATTATTCTATAAATAAGCAGAGATGAGAGAGCTAAAAAAGCAGACAGGATGGTCAATAGTGGCCATGGGTGTGTGTGAGAGAGAGAGAGAGAGAGAGAGAGAGAGAGAGAGAGATGCAGTGTCAAGCTCCAGCTCCCCTACTGAGGGCAGAACTCAGGCAGCAGGCAAGAACACAAGAAATGGCAATAAGGGGGAACTGAAACTGTTCTAGTGGTCCTGTACCTTACTAAGACACATTATGTTGGTCTTTCATTTAGTTTGTCTTCTCTCTGTATGCATTCAGAAAAGGGATGGAGGTGCAGCAGGCAGTGCCTTGACACCCACACGCAAATAGCAGCAAAGGGTGAGATAATGCTTAGTCTAGACAGTCAGAAGTCGTGTCATTAGCCATAGATTTGGCTCGCCCCCCCTATAGCCACCAGTCCTGCAGACACTGGGATGTCCAGTAAAGAGACAGGGTCATCAGAGCGGCTCCATTGGTGTCAGTAGCCATTAGGCCTCAGGAAGTAGTCCAAATATATCCAGGCCAGGGGACATCGACCACACAGACCTGAGTGCAGTCTCTGGATTGTCTCCTAGGCGACGGCTGGGGTATATATGAAACTTATGGGCCTGTTTTATGCCATCAGATCACATTTTCCATTTATCTTAAATCGTTTTAAATTATAATTTGTATAAATCACATAACTTTGGCATGGATGAGCTGAATGATAGGCAGGTTTTATATTAAAAGACTATTTGTAATTACAAAGGGCCGTTTGGCAGGTTTGGTGGTGTTTAAAGGCTTCCTCATCAATACTCTCTGTCATGTTGTCAGCAGAGAATAAATGACGGGTTTAATAAAAGAGAGCAAACAGAAGCGGGTCACAGGCTAGAATGTGAAGGCCACTTGTGGCCACGCTCTATTCTCCTTACCTCCCTTTCAGTGCGTCTCTCACCCTCGCATGGCATGCAGAACAGCCCTGATCCTCCCAAAAAGAAGATTAACAAACCCCTGACAGAGAAGTAATCTCTCTGAAAACATTGACTACTACCATTTCAACATGCTGCCTCTAAACAGTGGAAAATGCCTCTCTGGCATGCTTAATTGCAGTATGTGGTCCCACATACACACACAGTGTTCCTTTAGGTATGCTAAATGGAAAGCCTTGGCTACTGAAGGCATTCCAACATTGTAAATGTACAAACAATGGACCTTTACAGTTTTGTGCTTGGCTTAGAGTTCAGAAATTCAAATAAACTTCAATAGGACATTTTTAAGGGAAGGTATTTTGCACTGTTTTTTCTGACAACAGTGTAGAGGCTTTGGTTGTTCAGATTCTAGATCATAAATATGTTTGAACTTCAGTTTGGGTGAAGAGTGATTCATGAGCACTGGAGCTGCTTTCCCAATGAAGTATAATTGGTCACATTGTATGTTGTCATGAGATAACATTCCAGCCATTTGACCTCTTAGTTTTAGTCCATTTAATTACTTATCTGTGTTTGGCACGGGACTCTAAACTGTGGCGCTGTTTGTACAGCTCTCCGTTCTGTGTCAAAA